CAAACCGTAACCCCCATCAACTATCCTTACATCCAGATGCAGCTCAGGGTACAGTCGTGACAACCAAGCTCTTCCTGTTGCACTACGGGCGGCTTGGGCGGCTTAGCCGGTTTTTTACTGACTGCTTGCATAAACCTTCTCTGGCAAGATCTTAGGACAGTCTCGTGGCATAACCTGCTTACTACTCCTGATCTCCCCAATCCCTTAAGATTATCCCAGAGAAGTAATAGCTTAACTTTCAAACTTCAGCTGATCAATTTATGTTCAGCTTTCTCCTAGTCCTTTTTACAGCACTACATGCCCACCAGAATTTTTCCCTTTCCACAAATTCTGATTCCATCTGATTAAACTCCTGTCAAGCTTAACTGTCATTTCCCAACCACTCCTTTCCAGCCAGTTAGAACCCCAAACCAGTCAAAATTGATTTTACCTGATCCAAATCCCATCTAACAATATTTAGATTCCCCCTCTCCCCTTTCAGAAAGTCTCCCCAAACAACTACTACACAGGTGTTTGACCATAGCAATAGGTGGCATCAAGCCAGTCGGGTACATTTTTGCTTCACAGCAGCCACACCAACTAAATGTTGCACTTGGAATGTGTGAGGAATCCATTTTGGGCTAGGAATCCATCAGGTGTCCTGGGTTCAGCTCCCCAGACTGCAGACCACTTTGCCAGAGCCCTGAGTCTGAGTCCCTGCCCAGCGTTTATGGGGTGCTCATCATAGAATTGTAGAATGTAGAGTCAGAAGGAGCCATGAAGGCCATTGAGTCCAACCCCCTGCTGTTGCAGGACACCACGTTACACCATCCCACTCAGATGGCTGTCCAGTCTGTCTCCTCCCTCCCTCCCTCCCTCCCTCCCTCTCTCCCTCCCTCTCTCTCCGATTTATATCCTGCCTTTCCTACAAAGGGCTCAAGGCAGCTTACATCTCCTCCTCCATCTTATCCCCACAACAACCCTGTGAGGTAGGTAGGGCTGAGAGTCTGTGACTGGCCCAAAGTCACCCAGTTGGCTCCATGGCTGAGCGGGGACTCGAACCCAGATCGTCTGAGTCCCAGTCCCATGCTCTTAACCACTACGCCACACTGGCTCTCACCTTTAATGTCTCACCTTTGAATGTCTCTAATGTAGGACAGCCCACCACCTCTTTAGGCAGCTGGTTCCACTCTCGCATTGCTCTGACACGGAGGAAGCTTTTCCTGATGTCCAGCCTGAATCTGGGTTGTCGCAACTTGAATTGAGTGTTCCGTGTCCTACACTCTGGCATCAGCAAGAAAAGATCTTGCCTTCCTCTTTGTGACAGCCTTTGAGGTACTTATATAGAGGGATCTCATGCCCCCCACCCTGTCTCTTCTCAAGGCTGAGCATGCCCAGTTCTCTCGGTTTCTCCTCATAGGGCAGTGTTTCCAAACCCTGGATCATTTTTGTTTCCCTCCGCTGGACCCTTTCTAATTTACCTGCATCTTCCTTAAATCTTGGTGCCCAGAACTGGACACAGCATTCCAGGTGAGGTCTGACTAGTCAGGACATGAGCATCCTTCTCCTACACAGGGCTTGCCAGGAATGGAGCCCTGCATGACTGCTGCTCCATCAGCGTTCCTCTTCCGCCCCGTGCTGCTGCTCATACTGCAGAAGGTTGCTGGTTGTACAGCCTTCACTGTACGAGCGCTTGTGCGCTTCCTCTTGTCTTATCTTGTTTTCCAAGACCGGGCTGAGCATGAGAGAAAGTCCACAAATGCCAGAAAGGCAGATTCCACTAGGTCTAGTCTCAACCCTATATTACCGAATAGAGTTTTGTACAGGCATGTACATAGGTCTTCACTCTCTGACAATCAGTAAAGCAAATTACGGACGATTTGGTATGCTTCGGGATAAGCTAAGTTGGATCCAGACTTGGTCGTAAATGGAGTAACTCACTGAGATCAATGGGGATCACATCTAACACAAGCCCAATTGATTTCAGTGAGTCTGCTTTGAATATTATTGCATTTGCGTCCTGATTCTTAAGTCCCAGTGTGAATAAGCCACGATTCTATCCAATGTTTGAAAATATGCGTATTATAGAGGTACATCCCTGTGGAAACTATACTGGTTACAGTTCCTTGTGGGCTGTACACATGATAGGAATTGTGGGTTTATCTTTGTATAATTTAATGGCCCAGAAAAGTTTTGGAGCTAGTTACCAGGCTCCTTAAACTCCAGACTGCAGTATTACCATCCACCCACCCACCCATGAATACCATTATGGGAAAAAATGAGCAGTAGACTCCATTCCTCTCTCACATTCAGTGATGTTTCCAGTCACACAGAAGTGTGGTGCATTGCATTATCTTTAATGAGTCAGTAATCTCTATGGTGATCAATCAAAACACCATCCAGTGGGAAGTTCCCTTGAGAAAGTCCCACTGAAATAAACAGAAGCACAAGACTTAGCTTTTGCCTGCTGGTGTTGGGCAGTACCCAACAGTGCCTTTCCACAAACTAAGCATTAGTGGGGCTCCACAAAAGAGTTCCATTGTGCAAGCAGTTGCCTGTTATGGTTGCACTGGACATTATGCAACCAACTGGACAACGGGTTGTACAAGTTGAATCCACAACTGGCTGAACCTACTGTACAAGTGTAATGTACAATGTCCTGAAACAATTTGGATTCTATTCTTGTACATAGTCTGGAACCTCATTTCCATTAGCATACTGTTGTTTGCATTAATAGAATGGCATAGCTGGGTACTGCTCTTTGCCTTCAATAACCAATGGCATGCAGTCCTTGACAGAGAGATTATATTCTTTGACGTGAACCATCCACCCAACGTTACATTGTATGCATGTCAAAAAGCAAGTCCATTTCCTTGAAAAAGAATGTGATTATGCTGCTAAATTAATATTTCTACAGTTACTGTAAGAGTTAACTATAAACACAGTACTTAAGATGGGATACTGTCTCTTAATCCGAATGTATTCAAGAATGCAGCTTCACAATTTTTTGTACATCCTGTCTGTCCCTACTGAAATCTACTTTCTGACCTTTTTGCTGCTGCAGTGTTGGAATGAATACAAATACAATGCTATTTTCTCCTATAAAAAATTTAAGGAGGAAGCACCATAAACCAGGGGTTTCCCCCCACTTCAACTCATACCTGCTGTTCAACTAAGAAAATGGGGGGGACCCGAGAAAAAAATATAATATTTAATTTTATCACAAAATTTAAAATCTCTTTCAGTGAATATTAAACTTTTTGTGTGTTTGCATTAAGCAATCTATGGGTATCATGAGGGATATAACAACAATTAGCAGCGTATACTAAATGTCACTTCCTCAAGGAACGGAGGTGCTTTGCTGTGGATAAATGAAGTGCCACTGAAGTTTAAGCCAGGAAATCTCACGGGGACTATTCTACCTTTGTGCAGTCTTGAATTTAGAGTTATTGAATCATCCAGCTTAACTACTCCAGAACATGAAGAAAAAGATTTATAGCTTAAGTGCCTTGTGCTTTCAGTGATCAATGTGTGCAATAAGAAAAGATGAACTTCTTAAGGATTTGCAAGAACCGATACAACACCAGCAGCTCACTGGAACTTGGGCAAAGAAAGGAAACTTGTTTCCTTCTTGATCTGCTTTATTCAAAAACTAGTTAAGTTGTTTCGGAGAACCCAGTTGGTACAGCTGCAAATACCAGCATTTGGATTTGAGTAATCCTGTGTCAGACCATAGGTTCCTGTAGTCCAATACACTCTACTCCAGTGATGAATAGACTTCTTGCTACAAGATCTTATTTTGGTCTTTACTAGAACAAAAGGATCCACAATTTTAGAGGAAGTGATTCCATAAACAAAGCCCCAGCCTTAGTTTACAAGAACTGAACAGGGCTGTCAAGGACAGGACATTTTGGAGGAGACTCATTCTTAAGGTCTCCATAAATTGGAGATGACTTGATGGGATGTTAGGATTAACTGAATGAGTCAGTTCTATACTTGACTGAATCTGGATGCAGCCCATAGAATTCTGAGCCCAGGGACGTGTTTTGAGCACCAGAACTTAGGAGAGCTCACAGTTCTTCAATACAAAAATCCTTTCTTCTTCATTTCCACAGCCCAATGGAGGGTAAATTCAGGCAGCCGTTCTGTCACTGTTGCTGTTAACAATGGGCAGTAGGACAATCTTGCCAAGCTACTGTGCATCACTCAGAAATTTAATAAGAACCCTATCTACTTTCTTTCTGCCTTTGGTCTACTCTGACTGGTAGATTTCCAAACTTTCAGGCAGGGGTCCTTTCCAGTCGCGCTACCCAGCAGATATTAACTGATGGTCTGATGGATCCTGGCATTTATGCAGGCAAAAGGTGCGCTTCACTGCTGGGCAATGCATCCTCCTCATCTGAAATCCAAAGGCAATAAGGCCACAGACATCAAATACTCTGGTTCCTGTAACACCTGCAGCCTAATTATGCACTGTCAACCAAAACATTTCCCTACATTGTCTCCTGATAATGAGAAAAAGACAATCATTTTGAGAGGAGACTGAGCAATAGGTGTACACACCTCTTCAGCCTTGCAGCCGAAGTATTTCAAACATCACTGAATACTCCTCCCCCCCCCCCCCCCCCCGCACAGCCTTTTCCTAAAGATGCACGGCTGGTGGAGCAGACCCCAGGTGCCTTGTTAGCTGCTCAGCAGCTGGAAATAACAAGCTGTGCTGATGGCAAAGTGCACAGTCTGTCTCCCAGCTTCTAAAGTAGGAAATAGACACTGAACTATCAGACAAGTAAAGGCCTGCTTGTTGTTTTATATTGCTCGACCACTGTCTTCCTTCCTTGGATGGAGGAATGAGCAGGTGCCCTTCCACAATGCACCTCCAGTAACTAAATCAGAGCTTCTTGGGTGCTGCTGAGAGTGACCAGACTGTGGGCTGGGTAGGGTGACCTGCGTGAGCCACCCCACATAAAGGCCAGAGGTCCAAAGGCTTCCTACCCCATAGAGTGCCTGGCAGAGAAGGGGGATATACCAACTTCTTTATTATGAGTAGGGCATTAGAGGCTTGATAACTGCACATAGCTAGCTTGAGAGCAGAAACCCAAATTGCTTTCCTTTTCTGAATCCAGTTCCAAGGGAAAAGAGCTTTAAATCATTATGATTCCATACAGAACAGCCAAAATGTTGAATAAAAAGGTAATTTTATCCATCAGTCCTGCCTCTCTCACACACTCACACAAAGACACCAACTAATGGCTGGGAAAGGAACACTCTGCAGTTGTTGAGTGCTTTCAACTCAGTTACTTGTAAACACTGCCTCTCTCATCTTGGATTAGAACTCTGTCGAGCAGGCGATTCCTGCTTTGAACAAAAGGTATCCCAGCAGGCAGCATCCTTGGGTGCAAGAGGAACCCCAGAGGCAACTAAATCATCAAAAGACAGTACTGTGAATGGAGTCGGGGTGACACAGGTAGGGAGTACCTATGAGAAAAAAAACCCAACAAAAAGGGATTAGGTTCATAGAATCAGGCCCAATGTTTCTGTGTCCGAAGAACAAACAAGCTTGGGGATTATTTTAAAGTTACCTATTTTACAAAATGGAAGACTAAGGCAGAAGACATCCCTGAAGCCAAGTAGTATGTAAATATTTGACCTGTTCTCTGAAGTTCTGGAAGACCAAGGTGGGAAGGACCAGAATTCCCACATTCTGGTCCATTATTGTTCTGTCTGTTTGCTTTGCTCCCCCAGAGAAGAATTTGAAAGAATGTCTAAAACTAATTTTTGAACTAGTAGGTATACAGTTTGCTTTATTTTTCAGGATGCAACCTTCTCTTTCCTTATAGTGTGTCTATGCTCACTGTTTCAATCATAATGTGAAAAGGAATCCATGGTTTATGTGATCATATTGCAATTCCTGTTCTGGATGATTTGTTAGAGTAGAATTTGTAAGAAAAAGAGATTGGGAAAAGTTGGTTTAAAAGGAAAATAATACAGCCAATCTGCAGGTTTGCTTCTTGTCAGTTCCTGGATGGAACTGCCCAGAAGTCCATGAAGGAAGAAAGGTAGGATATAGATGTACTGAATAATGTAACACATAAAATAAATACAAGTTATAACAGTTTAAAACTGCCTAATAACTCTTATTAATAGCTTACTTAACAAATTTTGTATTGCATAAAACTTTGTATGAAATTAAGTATTGTCTTGTATAATTTAATGTACCAATCATATTTCATTAAGTATTTTATTAATTTGTACTATATGGTTAACTTATTTTCTTAACTTAAGTTGGGTCTACATCTTTTTCCAATATATCTTCATTTGCCTTGAATAGTGTTATGACTAACTTGATCAAGACATACCTAACATTTATTTAGGTGGGGACAATCATCCCTTATCAATGCATTCAACATAGGGTGCTGGAGGAGAACTTTGTGAGTACCCTGGACTGACAGGAAGATGAACAAGTGGATCCTAGATCAAATCAAGCTAGAACACTTCTTAGAAGCAACTGAAGTGGTTGTACTTTGGGAACATCATGAGAAGGTAAGACTGACTGGAGAAGACAATCATACCAGGGAAAGTCAAAGACTGAAGAAGAAGCGGAAGGCCAACTAGGAGATGGACTGATTCCATAACCGAAGCCGTAGCCTTGAGTTTACAAAAGCTGAACAGGGCTGTCCAGAACAAGGTATTTTGGTAGGCATTCATTCATACAGTGGAACATGTTCCCCAGAGAGGTGAGCCTGGCGCCGAGACTTTATTCTTTTCAGTGCCGGGCCAAACCCTTTTTATTTTCCCATTATTTGAAGACTTAATTTTTTATTTCAGTTGGGTTTTTATCATAGATATTTTGCTGTGCCTTTGTTGTTGGACCATTCTGAGACATTTATATATAGGACAGGGTATAAATAAAAGTTTTAAATAAATACAATTGGGGGTGGGCTTCAATTTCTAGGCCCATTGTCAAACAGTGGCACTCTAGGTGTGATATATACATTTTACAATTCAATCAATATTGAGAAATGGGATTTCCTGAGACAGAAGATATAATCATACAAGACGACTGATATTTCTGCTTGAGTCCTGCCATCAATATTAACACACCACATTAAAGCTTTGAAAATGGTCGTGCCAGAACATCTTACCCCATCATGCTTTTCCCCCAATGGTCTTGCCTTTCCCAGGGCAACTGCAACATGGTGCGATTCATCTAACCGGGTTTCCTAGATGGCAATTAAAATAATGAAGGACTGAAGGACCGTCAACATGTTCAGGTTTGTTTTGCTGCAACAGCAGTCATATATAGATAGGAAAAATTAAGAATCTACAGAATGATAATTATTGCTAGATATTTTAGAATAGCTGGTGAAATTACTCCCTAGGCACGTAGGTTAGTGGAATACCAACCCTTTGATAAAAGAAAAGCTCACTATAGTTAGTTAAAACATACTTTCCTTTAGGGCAGGGGAAACTTCCATTAGGAAAAACTTATTCTCTGTGGTGGTGTCAGTACTTGCCTAATCATGCAGGGCTTATGACTGGGACTTGGTTTGGACCCCCTTTTCAAAAACTATCATTTGCAGCCTCTTTTCCATTCCTCCCTAAGCAACCCTGGTCTACGTTAGAAACATAGAAACAGAGCGAGTCAGAAGGGGCCTCCCGGGCCATCTAGTCTGACCCCCGGCTCCAGCAGGCTCCGCTCATGACATGCCCACCACGTGCATGTTTGTATATTGAATGTACCTATCCACACAGCCTCCTCTACACAATCATAGGAATTCCACCCTCTTTTACATCCAGATGCCCTTTAGTCCTGTCCCAAGGGAGCAAGTGCATAATCAACCCAGTTCTGGTGCTACTGGTGGACTTCAAGGTCTCAACCTACTGGCTGAAGGTCAATGCTTCAACAAGTTTGTTTTCTTCTCACAATGGATGAATGTAAAAGAGTAGTCTCTTTTCTCTTGCCTTTTACTTAAGATACCACTGAGCACTCATTTCCATTTATTCTGTGTTGTTGTCTTTCTGTTTCATATGGTATCAAAATAAGAACTGAATTCCATAAACGAAAAGCTAAGAGGTTATTTTTCAGTGGCTTCTATTACCATAATTCCCCATGTCAAGGACTTAACATGGTTGAAGCCTAACTTTGTTTACAGCTGATATTGGCTTGAGGTCACCTACAGCACAGACATTAAAAGCTTATGGTGCTCCAATTGGGAGCATTACAGGGGTTGTGATAGAATTTTTAGTGGATAATATGTTGTTTTCTTTGGAAAGGCTGTTACATTTCTTTAGGAGAGTACATCATTGGGCAAAATAATTGCATGATGATTCCAAAAGTCAGGGGATAAGAGCTAAATCCAGGCAGTAATTCATTATTTAAAGTAGAGAAAAAAAGGGGGGGAGGTTTAAAGAAAAAATGTTTGTTGTTCATGAATAGCTTTACACAAATGCATAGGCCATGGGAGGAAGGGGCGGGACAAGGAAGAGGATAAGACTTTAGTTATCAGGAGTGGCAGCACTAATAATATACAGTATATATGATTACCAGTCCAAACATTTACACTGGCACAAATAGATTTTGTGTCAGCATAAACTGCAAATATAAGGAACAGTTGGCCACCTAATGGGAAGGAGGGACTCCCTGGAGAAGAGCCTAATGCTGGGAACAATAGATGGCAAAAGAAGAAGGGGATGGCAGAGAATGAGGTGGCTAGATGGAGTCACTGAAGCAGTTGGCGTGAGCTTGGGTGGACTCCGGGGGATGGTGGAGGACAGGAGGGCCTGGAGGAATGTTGTCCATGGGGTCACGATGGGTCAGACACAACTTCGCGACTAACAACAAACAAGGAACAGTTTATACGTAGAGGTCTTACCTCAAAAGTCCAGTCCTTTTCTACTTCACCATCCAAGAGCAGAACTGTGTCAACATATGTTTTGCCCACTTCCAGCTGCACTGAGGAGACATTAAACTCAATCCTTTGAAGATCAAAACCTATTCCAACACCAATGGCTTTTATAAAGCTCTCTTTTAATGCCTAAAAGAAAACATTTAAACCCAAGTTGTTATCCTGCATACAGTACTTTTAAATAAAATCTCAAGCAATGGATGTACAATAGCCCTCTAAGTCTCCAGGTTTACTTCCAAAGAGAAATCACAGGAGATACAACACTCTCTTTGTTTATACATTAATAATTTTTATGTGTACCACTTTGATTATCAATGCAGAATAGAATTCCCTGGGCTTCTTCTCTCTCACACCTGTATGTACAATGCATTTCCACACTTCTATCATGTCAGTACAGAGTGACAAAAAGAAACCTGGAACAACAAACAAGGCCGACTAGATTCCTGATTTACCAAAAATGTACACTGAATTAATTGGAAGAGCACAGCACTTAGATGACCTTCCAGGACACAAAGATATTAACAGGTCAATTAACTCAGGCTGGGAATCTTGGAAAGTTACAGAAAGCAAAACTAACAAAAAAAAAAAAATCTGCCTTACAGTTTCAATTTCTTCTTCCATAGTTTGTTTGAATGGATATTCCCCGATATTTCCCATCCAAGAGAGCTGAGGGTATCACATTAAAATATGGAAGGGTGAGCACACTCCTATATTTTTCATACTTAAACCATTTGTCTTGGGAATTAAAAGAAGCTGGATGAATGCCAAATGCCAAAGGAAAGCCAACTTTACTTGTTAGTACAAGGAAACCTTGAACATTTATAACTTTAATATGCTTCAAAATGACTGGTCTACGGTCACTGAATGAACATCATGACTGGACATTTGAACACGGATATTCTCTAATTCAAACTCAACACTAGTTGGAGTGCTTCTCCAAGGTTGGAATTATCCTACAGCCATTGAAAGAGCATCTAGCAGATAGAGAACTATGTTCTTAAGTCAATATGTAAATGTAAAGATAAAGAAGCAAAAATATACAGAATCTAATCTAAGGTTTTGTCCATTGCTGCTTTTCTCATGCGGCTCCATTAAGGCTAGATCTTGCATTCTCTCTCAACCAAATAAGACTGTTGAGAGGATGAAATGGGAAGAAACATATGTATGCCACCCCAAGCTCTTTGGAGAAAGGTCAGAATTTAAATGTAACATAAAGATACTTCAATTGAGCTAGCGCATAGTGGAAATGAGATTTTGAAGTCTTCTAAAATTATTCTTCGTAGATTTTCAAAGCAAGTACCTTTAAAAAGAGAGATTGTGAACTGATGGGAGTTCTAAAAGCTGCACACACCAAAACATTTTTCAGTAGAAATGATCCCTTACCCAGTGCCTATGAAACATATCCAACTGGAGCCATTCATTATTCATGGACAGGATCATTCTCCACTCTTCCTCCGTAAACTGCCTCTTCATAATACGGAAGAAGTCTGGAACTGAACCACTTCCTGCAATTAGAATACAAAATGACAGCCACAAAGCACTAATATCCTAAAATACAAACTGACATGATGAAAAGAAGAGGAACCTGCCTAAGAAGCAAGGCAGAGATGGGGCTGAGCTTCAAAATGTCGAATACGTCATTGGAAGCCATGGTCTTCTGCTCCAGCAATCATTTCACAGAAGATAAACTGATGAGGAGCATAGATAAATACCTTACCTATTTTTAGGAAACCTCATAAAAGACAAAGGCGGGGACGACGACGACAAAGCCGCAAATACCAAAACACATCATTGCCTTCACAAACACAACAGAATACCTATTTCATGGAAGACAAACTAGTGATGCTAAGAGAAACACACAGGGAGAACAAAGCAGAAGACCTATCCAAAGTACAACCTCTCTCAAACTGCAAAGTAAAGCAGGCATCACACCAAAACAAACAAAAAGCCACCTGCACACAGACAGAGGAGTGGAAAGACATCCGTTTGCTTCTTACCCCACCTCCCTTTTAGGCTTCCAGGATATTCCCTTCCCATCTCTTCTGGTCCCTTAGGACAAAAACCTACCACTCCCGGTTACCTGCTTCTTTTTTTGCCTGGACAGGTGAACTTCCTACAAAAACAAAGCACTGGCCTGTAAGCAATGACCTACCCAAGTAAGGGGGGCAGTCACTGATGCTTCTACTGGAGCAACAGGTGACATTTATTCTCTTTATGAAAAATGAAGATGGCACTGGAGACCAGTGCTTCACTTGGCAGCATTCCAGCTTCCCAGTTCTTGTTTGTTTTAATTAATATTTAAAAATAAAATAGGAGTCAGAAGCCTGGGAAGTGTCAGGAGAAGTAACCATGGGTACACTGATGGTCATGGGTGCCATGATGGAGAATCTAGGCATAATTCCTGAGTTAAGGGGAATCTTGGTTAAGTTTAATACCAATGAACCCTCAGTTACATTCAGGGCAGGAGAAAAGAAGTATTTCTCCGTACAATGCATAGCTAACTTATATAATTTGATGTTGTGAAGTGCCATGAAAACCCTAGGCTACAGAATTACAGAGGACAGGTCTATCAGAGGCCATTAGTTAAGATGGCTTGTTTGGAACCACTAGCTCCAGAAGCAATAGTTACTTATATATTTTTGCATTTATATGCCACTCCCTACTCCTAATGGAGTCTCTCCATTATGCCACTGAACACCAAGAATGGGGAGCAACAAAAGAGGAGGGCTACTCAAGCATGGCTTGCTGGCTTCCTGAAAGCATCTGGTTGGCTAACGTGTGAAGCAGATGCTGAATCAGATGGTCTGTTCACCCAGCAGGGCTCTCCTTACAGTCTCAAAAGAGAGAAGTGAAGGACTTGCTTCAGAGAAGGGAAGAATGATGCATTTCCAAGGTGGGCTCCTGAAAGGTTAACCTTAATAGACAGACAGTGCTATACCGGCATCTGCCTTGGGACACCTTGGGACACCTGCTTGAACCCTAGGCTAAAACCTAGCCCAGAACAGCATCCCAAAACCTGGTGCCCTCCAAATGTTTTGGGCTGCAACTACAGCCAGAGTGGCCAAGTGTCAGGAATGCTCGGAGTCGTAGTCCAAAGCATCAGGAAAGCACCAGGTTGGGGAAGGCCACCTCAGATGCAGAAGTAGAGAAGAAGGAAAGGGCAGCATTAAATTCACAAAAGAAGGCAATGCAGACCAATGGGCTGTGCTGTTACAAGGGTCTGAGATGGGCTAGTTTAGGCAATTTCCAGATCCCAGGCCAATTAAGGGGGCCACCATCTGAGGGCCATGCCACCTTGCCCTGGTGCTTGGTTGGAAGCCATCAAAAAGCTGTTTTGAAATGTTGTATTAGAAGGCCATCACTGCACACGTTTGCGGTTGTTCCTCATTTTTGTTTCCAGCAGCACTTTTTTAGCCTTAAGTGCTGCTTTTAATACACCCAAATAAGCCCGTTTCAAATGGGACAGATAGGAAGACAAAGATCACCACATTTTCGTATTTAGTAGCATAGTTCATGAGTGAGCCAAGGCACTCCTGACTGACAGCTTCGGTAATGTGGGACTTTCCTCAATGCAGCCCATGGCTGAACTTCACCGAGTTAAGTGAGATTGCAAATAGGAAAACCAAAGAGAATTTCTTGGGAAGACTCGAATGCATTTCAAGAGTAATCGACTATCAAATGAAAAAAGCCGTTACGCTATCAGGCGTCAAGATGGTGTGTGAAGTAGTTTGGATAAAAGTTTTTCCTTTCTTTTTAAAAAGAAGCTTCACCAACTTCTCGTGTTTTATCTATAAAGTCTAGTTCTAAACTGAAAAAATATAAATGCAAATATTAATATCCACAGGGTCAAGCGATTTCCCAGAAATGTGTAAGATGCACATTTAAATGCAAGTACACCATGGTGAACAACGTCATCTCTTTATTCCTAGAAATTAAACAGAATGATATGCTTGTCCAAGGCATACAAGGCTGGAGGCCAACTCTAGCTTTTTGTCCCATCAATTTAAAAGTGATTTGATGTGGTATGTACAATCTAACCCAGTTTTGCCTGAAAGACAAAATTCACAAGGTTTTTTGCATTACTTTAAAACTTCAAGAACCTCTTTCGGACCCCCCCCCCACCCTGAAACCTCTTACTTCTTCACACACAACTTATAAAAAGCTAATACAGAAATAACTTAGGCTGAAAAAAGAAAAGTCTGTCATATTTATCTGTTATTTTTCATGTTACGCAGACATGAGGGTCAAGGAAACCTAGACATGAATTCCCTATTTATAAAATGCGATAAAGTTACAAGAAATTCTGTTGTAAGCATCCATTAAATGCAATTAATGACTTTAAATGTAATTAATGAGTTTTATCTGTTAAGAATTCATTAAAAACACTGTTGCAAAATCATACCCCTTCTGTTCCTACTTCAAAGTGATAATTTGTTATCTTTCCTCAAATAGAACAGCAACAGCAGCAGAGGGCTGTTTTCCTTTCCTTTCATTGGGTAAAGCCAAATACGATATTAAAATAACCATCTAAGGAACTAAATTAAAGCCTTAGACTTTTCTTAATTCAGCACTCCTATGCACATGTTCCCGATGAATACAATAGGCCCTGCTTGCACAACTAATCATGCATAAGATTTGGTTGGAAGAGTAATAATTGGCTATTGCAATCTTCATGTCTAATTTCCTTCCGAATGAATCATATCAGAACCCCGCACTCTCTCTAGAGTGTTAATTTCAGAAAGCAGACAATCCAGCTTTGCGTCAGCAGTTGTAAAATTAATTTTAACTTATTTTTAATTGATTTCCCTTGGCAAAGGATAGATGACAATCGTTAACTGAAAGAGTGGGATAAGCCCTAAGGACAGATAAGATTAATGAAAGTGCAGGCTAAAATTTAAGGCTGGGGTGCAGTAACTTGCATTCAGAAAGAACAGATGGGAGAGCAGCGTGCGTGTTTACACATGTCCTAGGGTCAAATTTCAGCAACGGGTTTAAAAAATGCAAGATAATCTCAGCATTTAAAGTGCCTAGATCATCCTTCCTCAAGCATGCTCCACTTGTTTTGGATTACAACTCCCCTCATCCGTGCCCACTGGCCATGCTGGTTAGGGCTGCTGAGAGTCAGAGAGAGGATGACGTTAGGTTAAAGATACCCAGGATGCTCAAAGCTGCAGTACAGGGCTGAGACTTGGAAAATCTGGGTTCCATTCCCCATTTGCCGCTGGTTTATTGTTAATTCTGTTTTGCATGTCCCATAAACAACCCAGTTTCTGGGTTTGTGAAGCAACTCAGGAATGGAGTGATCTGGGTTGATCTTCAAAATCAGAAATGACTTGCACTTTTTAATCATCACTGCAAATTCTTCCACCACATGCAAACAAGATCACAGCCTGACTTACTTTACAGAGTTGCTATGAGGATAAAAGGACTGCAGGTGGTGCAGTGGTTTAAACTGCTGTGCTGCTGGGCTGGTTGATCAAAATGTCAATAGTTCGAATCCGCACAACGGGGTGAGTTCCTGTTGCTCCGTCCCAGCTCCTGCCAACCTTGCAGTTCGAAAGCATGCAAGTGCAAGTAGATAATAAGGTACCCCTTCGGTGGGCAGGTAACAGCGTTCCGTGCACTTTGGTGTTTAGTCATGCCGGCCACATGACCACGGAGACTGTCTGGGACAAACGCTGGCTCCCTCGGCTAGGAAACAGAGATGAGCACCACCCCCTAGAGTCATACACGACTGGACTTAAGGTCAAGGGGAAACCTTTACCTTTACCTTTTATGAGGATAAAATGGAGGAAGAGGAAGACCTGGTTTGGATTCCTTGCAAGAGAAAACGGAATATAAATGTAGTATATAAATGTGGGATACAAATGTAGTAACAAATAAATTGAATCAATATCAGTCGGTTGCATGCAGCCATGGATCTTATGAATCACTGCAGATTCAGTTAGCAGATATTCATTCTTAGGGGCAGGGGATCCAACTGTGTTCACTCAAAGCTTTGAGAAGCAAAAGTGTGCAGAGTTACCATGTCTTTACTTGGGGAAGGCTCTCACATCCTCACCAGTTGTGCGTCAGTCAGAAATTAAACTGGAATAAATTTTTTCCATTGGATTCCCATCCCTGGGGAAAGTTGCACTTGATGAACTTTGATCTATGCTGATTGAGTATTTATTCTAAGGAGGAAGAAACCAACCATTTAAAATGTGCAAATCTTTCAATCTGTTCTAGTTTATGGTTACTGAAGTCCCCATCTCCTGAATGGTACATTGATTGGATCAGTCTTCTTTAACATGGTGCCTGCCAGATGTATGGAAGTCCAACACATCTGCAGGGCACCAGGAAAGGGAAGGATGGACTTGGGAGGCCAGGCTTCGAATCCATGAAGTTCACTGGCTTGCTCTGTGCCAGCCTTACCAATCACATCGGACAGTGTAAGAAATGCTACAAGGAGAGCACAAGTCAGGAATCAATGCCCCTCCTAGACTTTGGGTTGATGGGGTGAATT